GGGAAAGATTGGTGAGTTTTAATTAGCTGCATGACTTTGTAATTTTTTGTTTTATGCACGGAATGCCTAGAGACTTTACGGATTCTGAAGTTTAACTTTGTAAATTATGTGAGTGCTAAGAAAACATATGTGTGACTAGAGAAGGTGTGCTTACATTTATGGGAGTTTAGGTAATTAGCCTGATAAACAGGACCAAACAGGGAGAAAACATTATTCTGTAATTAGGTTTCTAGCACTAATAAAACTTCCAACTGTATATTTTTCATTCCAGTTCACTAATCATGTTTATTAAACGTAGGCTAAAGAAGGAGCCAGCCTTGCAGCTGTTGAGATATCAAAACTGAAGACCAAGGTTGATGATTTGGAGAAGGCACTGCATCAAACAAAAACCTTCCAAGCAGAAACTGAGAGAGAGATTGCATCATACCAGAATGAGCTTGCTGGATTAAGGTATAAATGGTAAAATTAGCAAATAGTACATATGGCTCTTGTTTAGAATTCTTCAGTGACTTCACAACCTGACGTAAAACTGACACAAAACCAAAATTATGAATAACTTAGCAGGAAGTAGGATAAGAATATTTCTGTAATGTGCAAAATCAACTTCCACGGGGTTGTCTTTGTTTGCGGTTATCCTTGTATCTTTATGTAATGGTCTTTTGGCTTACGTAAAGTTTCAGGCAGTCTTAATTGAACGTTTTCTGCTCTGTTGGTGACTTGGATATACGGAACTACAGTTTAAGAATCTTATTTCAACGCTTGGTGTTATATTCTCTTTTTGTAGCTGTATCTTATATCTACAGCGATTGATATGGCTGAACGTTTCCCCCCAAATCTCTTTTTTTTAAAAGATGGCTGAGGTGGTGTGTATTTGGCCTAACGACATACGGAAGATTAACTTCATTTCACATTTGGGCATTATTTTTGTAAATTCAGGAGTCCACTCCAGTGCTAGCATCATCTGTCACAAATGAATAATGTGACACCTTGGGCCTAACTTGGTGAATGCCTCATGAGGTCTGCTGCTAAGAAGGCAGTAGGCATTTTTCAGTGGCACTCTGTGGAGGCAGGGCAAGATTTGGTCATCTTAGACTGCTGTTCTTGTTCAAGGTTTTAAACTAGTGCAGATGATTGAAGGTCAAAAGCATGTTATGATCAGTTCAGTGAAGATAATTTTGTTAGAATTTGAGGCCAGTAGGCAGTATCCTAGTGCCTTAATGCCTTTTATTGTCCATAGTGCAAATTCTAGCTCTCTAATTAAAGTCTATATAAGATAACGTCTGTTTTGTACTAGAAGTTCTTGGGGGAGCGGTTGTAGATCAAAAGGACAGCCCCACATTTATCTTTGTACATGTGATCAAGTTAGCATGAAATAGTCAAACGTTATTCTAACTTGTAGACTTAACCAGTGAACAGCATGAATAGTCTTCCATTTTTTTCCCCCAAACGTTAAAAACATAGATTGAATTCAAAAGGATTTAAATGACTTTTATGCCCTTTGTGATATCGCCTGTGTACGACAGCAGTTTCTGTCATACATGTTTGTTTATTTACAGTTCTCTGGGTCTAGGATGTTCCTTTTCAAACTTGTGTAACTGCAGTAGGGTAGACTGGCTATCTTGAGCAGGGCCTACACAGCTGAGACCTAGAGTTGCTTTGCTGCGCAACCTTATTCTTTAGGTAGCTGAAGTATGTACTGTGTTAACAGATGTTAGTATCTTTACAGCCAGTGAACTTCTCTCATCTCCAAGCCAATGAAGCAAATGTGATGTTATCACTTTTCAGGCTTCATTTTCTGATTTTTTTTTTTTAGCAGATGTCTTTAAACTGAGGTATGTATTGAGAATGTTCATATAATGCTCCATATTTGCATATAACTGCTCAAAAATACCATTATTTCAGAAATAACAGTGAGTACACCTTTATCCTTTTCATTCACTGGTATGCGGTGTATTATCATTTAACATCTAGTCTAATATTTTATGTTCAGAATGGAAAACAACCTCCTCCTCTCAGAGTCCCAGGCGCTGCGAAATCAATATCAAATCACAGTTGCTGAGAAAGATCGACAGATTGCAGAACTACAGAAGCTGCAACAAGACATGATTTTTAAGAAATCGGTCTCCGCTGGCAGCAATTACCCAGTCAAGGTAAAAAAAATGAAATGTAGCAGGAGGCACAAATCTACCTCCATCAGTTTATTGTATTAAATTTGCAGCTTGCTTCCCAAATGAGAACTATACGGCATATGATAGTGAAGTATGGAAGGCTGATGAGTGCATTACCTTTAAGTCAGTGTTGCCTGGGGTCAGATCAGCAACTTACAACGATTCCTAGCAAATGAGTTGCAAGTGTTAAAAACACTTTTTAATGGAGCCTGATATATTGATCAATTTCTTTTAAACAAAGGAAAATAATGTGTTTCTCATACGTTGATAAAATAACAGAGAAAACTTGGTGGTGTGGTTTTAGTGGTTAAAAACACGGAAAGCACCTTCATGAAGAAATGAAATGGTTGTGAAGCAAAGGATGAAGGTCATGAACTTACAATGGTTACTGATTCTTAGTCAAAAAGGAGTAACGATTTGCTGTGGTTACTTTGTCAGGTAGTGGTATTTGCTTGTTGCTGAGTTCCTAACATTAGTAGATTCCCTAAGTAATCTTCTAAGTTACTATTTTAGGTTAGTTAAATCCAGAATATAGTAGGAAGAAGTTAAAAAAAAAAGGTTCAACAGCAGACTGGGTGCTGATAAATAGAGAGGCATACTAGAAAGGGAAAGAAGAAACAGTGCAATTTGCAGGTTTCTCAGTTAATCCTTTCACATCAAGAGGAGGATTGGGAACTTTCATGCAACTTAAGGAGAGATTCTTATGTAGTAGCTGAGATGAAACGTGTTACATCCACAAGTGGAAATACAATCCTGGCTTCTTGTGCCAATTTCATATCTATCATGCGTCCTTTTACTGTTCACTCTGTTGTAACACCAGTGTCGTTACTTGTTCCTGTACCACACTTGTTCAAAAGAGAATCGGATGCTGTACTATTACTTGTAGGATGCCAACAATGCATGTATTGTCACTGAGTCCTTGCATGCTGATTGACTTAATCACCTGCCAGACAGCTTCCTACCTATTTCTTTTTCTCTCAGTAGGTAGTATCAAGTTGGATCTGTCTTCCCCCGGTTCAGTGATTATTGCACTAAGTATAGAAGCATTGTAATTTTTTGAGACATGAACCTTCTTTTAAAATCCAATTTTAGAATTGGCTAGCTAAAGCAAATAGTATTGGCAGAACAGGTAGACAAAAAAGATGACTTGCATGTATCTTATTTTTAGAAAACCAGTCTAAATCAAAGTTGTTTCAAGTTCTTTGTATGTTGAAGAACTGGTAGGAAAAGTGGCACAGAAAACGTAATTCTTGAGTGTAGATAATTTGTAGTACAGTTCACCTCAGCTTCACAGTACTATGACATTGCAATACAAAAAGACATGTCAAAGGAGAGAGGTGGAAGGCATGATACCGAAAAACTTTTAAGAAGAAACTTCAGAAAAGATGGGGATTGTTTACATTAGGAAAGAAAAAAAGGAGCGGGGGGGAACTCTAGTAGTACTGTGGGATGCATGTGAAATGAGAATCTACACTTTCACTTCGTGTAAGCCCAGAATAGGGGACATTCAGTTACAAATACAAAACTAGTAAAAGAATGTGCTCTTTCAGGCAACGTGAACCTTTTTTCAGATACATTATAGCTGCAGCCTATTTTCAGGGACACAGTTTTTAAGAGGAACAAAAAAAATCTTGGTAGTTTACATTGACAACTGTTTTCAGAATTTGTATACTTGATGCTCACAAATTTTAAAGGTCTAATAAAGTTCATTCTTCAGAACCTAAATCAATCTGTAATTACTGCAGATTAGAATAGGACCTAATTGGGAGGAGAAGGGAGAGATGTGCCTAATGGAAGTGTTCTTGCCCTTCCCCTGAAGCATCTGGAGTTGGCTTCTGCCAGCAACAAAATGCTAGATTTAGAAAGGCAGCAGCTGAGACCCAGTCTGGCAATTGCTGTCTGCTTTTGTAGACTGTCGTTACAGGTTCAAGGAAAGCGAACCTTTATTATACTCTTAGAATAATGTTCTTATGTGCCTTTTCTGTCCCAAAGGAAGTAAACCATATTCCTTTTAATTTCATTAAAACCAATATCTTAGTTGGTCAAGTTTGTGTGTCTCATGCTGTTCACTTTCTGTGGCTAAAATGATGAATGAAAGCTATTGAACAGTAATGCCTGTTGGGTTATGGAATATTTTATGTGGTTGAAGTCTTTATTTCATGACTGCATAGGAAAATAGATTACATAAAGCATTAGAGATGGCACTCTTCCGTCCATTATTGGAGATCAACATAAAAAAATTGACCTGCCAGAAATAAGGGTGGCCAAAGCTGTGAATCAGTGGTAAAGTTGGGTTTTTTTGTGGTGAATTTTTTGGTCAATATGGGCTTTCAGCTTTAAATTTATATTTACAAATTAGCTGTTCTTCTACAAGACATGAATACCATACGTTATTAATTTGAAAATAATCTTTGGAAAATTAAGTTGGGTTGCCTTTTCATGGTAATTTTTAATTTGAAGTATTTAGGTTGAAAACACTAAGTAGAAGATTTCTTTTCCTTTTTTTTTTTGTTAAATATAATGTGTCTTGCAAATGTGGTATTAACTTGTGAGAAGGAAATGATTTTGTGAAAAGGAAATTATTATGTAGTCCGTATGTATATTTAGTGTTGGTGGTGTATATTATTTCAAGAACTCCTATACCATTTACCCTGAATATGCTAATACTTTTTAAGGTTTTAGAAACTGCCTCCCTCGCTGGCAGTGCAGATACGCCGCAGGAAATCAAACATGTCTTAGCTGAGAAGAATCAGCTTCAAAACGAGCTCCAGCGCTGTCTTCAGGAGATACACCAGAAGGATCTGCATTTTCAGCAGGTTAATTCAAAGGTAACTTTAGAACAACAGCAGTGTCTTGTGTGACTGACAGTTAGTTTGCCTTGAAACTTAGATTCTTCAAAACAACCCTGTTGGCTCAGACTAGAAATTGCAAACTAAATGTCTGTATTATCTTTCTGTCAGGCTTTCCTGACTTGTTATTTGACTGAGAGAGGTTTATTTGAATCTGCATTCTGAAGACATTGATGGAGCACTGCTGAACTTCTGTTCAAAGTAAAATGTTTTTCATTATAGACAGAAACAGATGTCTGTCTTAGCTGGAACAAGATTTTAGCTATCTCATACCAAATTTTAAATACCTCAAAATGTTTCCTTACAAATTCTTGATGAACACTTTTGCGGCTGTTAAGACTGTAAGAGCGTGTGTATTATCTGTGTGCACATGTGTGTGCGTGTTCAGTTTTGTTTGTAAATGTTCTTGGAAATTCCCTTTTTACGTTTATCTCTTTTTGTGTGACCTGGTATTGGAAGCAAATCAGATTTATGTTACCTTTCATCTGTCATTGTGTCTGTTTTCACTCCTTCACCCAAACATTTTATAAACCTAATAACAATTTTAACCAAACTTTGAAACAGGTGTAGGAAATCTCAAGCTCCTCCAAGTGAAGATGAGAGTTTGGGTAATGGGTGGAGACGCAACTTACAGTCTGTTTTTTGCAAAGATGAAAACTCGACTGCTGAGCGTTCCTGGACTGCCTGGTGAACATGTTTATACTGTCAGGCTTATTTGGCTCTATGTGTTGTCCTGAAGTAGCAGCTACATATACTGTCTGCTGCCAGGTGGTGATATCATAGCAAACATGGGGAGGGAGGCACTGGGGTTCAAAACCCTGAGTTTCTGGTTTGGGCATATTGATGACAGGGGAAATCAATACTCAGGTCTCATTATTTCCGCTGCTCATAAAACAACTAGTTAAATCTTACCAAACTGTGACCTTGCCAAAGAGGTGATGCAATTTTGAAACTAGTACTTGGTTGTTTTCAACAGCAGGTCTCAAATCCGTCGTAATTTCCTGCAGGAGATAATTCCTAATTTTTACTTACTTAAATGTTAATTTCTTTCAGGTTGTGCAGTCAGCAGAAGAGAATGCTGTCTTGTCTGCCCAGTTGAAGACTCTTTCGCAGACTCTGAGGGATAACCAGCTTCGTTACACTGACTTGCAGAATCGTTATTTAAGACTTGAGAGGGAATATCAGACAGTGCAAGTGACATCTTTCCAAGGCACTGTTCAGGTAAACAAATATATGGAAATGTTTTTGTGTTTGTTTTTTTCTTCTGTGCTTACATTTCTCTGGTTTTCCTGCTAAAAATGAAGTAAACACTTTTTATTTTACTGATTTGGTACTTTTGCTAGCCCATGATGTGCTGAAGATAACTGTTTTTTGTAAAGCTGGTTTTACTTCACTTTTCATTTAAGGAAGCTGTTTATGCATCTTTTTTTTGTTGTTTTGAAGTATCATCTTTTTTGAATTAGTCTACAGCTGGCAGATGTAATTGGATGGTCACTAATCACCGGATCAGCAACGTTTAGTGATAATTTCATGTCAGTCATAAATTGTTTTGCAAGGTGTTTGAGTAATATTTTCAGAAGTGAGATCTGTATTACCAGTTCAGCATTTCGGTACCCTTTGCTCACCCCTCATACATATCTGTAAGCTTACTCCTTTGTGATATCTTAACGTTAAAAAAATTTTTCTGTATTGATTTGGTTATTCAGTAACAATCAATTAATATAATGCCCTAAAATATCATAGAGATACATACGTAAAACAACCATTACTCTTCCGTGAACAGAAATAAACACAAACAAGGAGAACTGTAAACAAAAAAATAAATGAATAGCTGCATTACTTAGGAAACCACAGTCAGTGCTATATTACTATGTGGCTGTGTAGATGCATTTCTTTCACTTCAGACGTTGCTCAGATAAGAGATTGCAGTGTTACGCAGTGTACATGTATCCTTCAAGTCCTGCAGCACACACAGGCAGTATTCGTCAGCTTTCTGTTAGAAAACAGGTTCGGAAAATTGCAGCTCCGGCAATGAAAAGATTAAATGGGACAAAGATTGGTTTGTTCCGCTGATTTGTGATGCTTATGGCTTCTTTAATTGAAATAAAGATTTTTAGCAACTAGAAAAATGGTGATGGGCTTTTTTACCTCTTTAATATTTTCTAGGATGAAACCAGAGCAGAAGTTCCTCCTGGAGCGCCACAGGAAAGATCTGCAATTGTTGTTGAAATAGACAATATGGAACTAAATGAACTCAGAAGAAGGTCAGGACTGAGAGCATGTTATTAGCAATATTGTTTTCCTGATGGCTGTGTTCTAAGTGTGAAAGTAATGCTTTTCTATCCCTCTGAGGCATTTTGGGGGAAAAGGGAAAGAAGTGCATTTACAGAGGATTAAATGAATCATAGTTATATTCTTCATTTGTTATTATCTGCTAGGATTTGTGGTTTGTTTCTGTAAAGATACATATTTGTTGGTGACTTTATTTCGATATTGTATCTAAAGCATCTCACTATAATTAAGTCTTTATCACAAAAAAGAATATCCTTAATAAAAAAGAAGAAATTAATTCCTGAAGTACGTGAAATACTGATTTCAGATTTCATTTTGTCATAGGCTTGCAGAGACCGAGCAACAATATGATTCAGTGCAGCAGGCGCTCTCACAGCTGACAGAAACACTGTCGGAAGAGAAGAGGAGGAGAGAAGCTGCGGAAGAAGCTCTTGGGCTCTCTGAGGAGCAAAGCAACAGGTAAAATACTCCTGTCTGTAAGATGTGGAGTTTTTTTCTTTTGAAAGGAAAGTGTAAGACACATTTCTTTGTCTTTTCTTATATTTTTGAAATATGGGACAGTTAGATTGCTGCATTAAACCCTTATGTGGGTGTGAAATCACTTGCATGTTCAGAGAGCCGAAGCCATCTTTTGCTTCTGCTTCCCCTTGGACAACTGCATGGTGAGGTTTTCATTTACACTATGCCTGGAGGAAACGCAAAGTGTACTACAGCACTGGAAAATGGAGTGTCAGATTTTTTGTTTACCTTTTATTTTTAGTGAGGTTAGCGATTGATTTTTCTATGGGTGTTAGATTTCTGAGCAAATAATAGTACAAATAGAGCAAACAAATAATGGAACCTGTTTGTGAGCCCGCAGTACTTGATGCAATGAAGGTGCATGTGTAATGGTTAAAAAGCTAGGTCTAACTCTATGGATCAAGAAAACGTTACGGGCTTTGGGATTTTTTTTTTTTTAATTTAATTTCTTTCTTTAGGTGTTGGACTCGGTAGTCAGTAGTCTTTCTTTTTTTACAAGTCAGGAAAAAATCTGACATAGAACAGCTTTAGTACAGCCACTGCTTAGATTTAAAATATCATTATCCATCTGCCTACGTAAAGTGCCCATCGCTACCATCATCTGAAAACCACTATTCCATCAGCTAGCGATGATGGCAGTCATTTATGCAGAATAAATGAAACCCCTTGAGAGTAGCTTGTAAATAGAGACTGAAAAAGACCTGGCAAAATAAATGAAGTCTTACTGCTTTTTGTGGGGACCTTCCCACAGTAATGTAAGTAGACAAAATAATGTGAATTCAGTACTTTAAAAGAGCAGATAATTCAGTGCTCCATTATTTCCCTTCAATTTTTCCTCTAGATTTGAAGTAAGTGGTTACAGGTCTGTACCGATGGAATACACTGTTCAGATGGAAACTGAGGAGGAAAGGGAAGCCTTAATCATCAATCCTAGTGAACATGTTATTGTGCGAAAGGTAAGTAAACGAAAGCTTTTAAAACCCCCGAATTATAAGCTACGTAAATGTGGCGTACATCAATGCGTCTTCGCTCTGCTACACCTTTCAACTGTCATTCGTCCTTGGAGTGCAGATTTCCCTTTTGAGTGACTGGAAATCACTTATTTTGGGTTGTCCTCTTCATATGTAAACACTGGCATGAAGCAGCTACTTGTCTAACCTGGTTTGTCTCTGAAAAGCTGACTGCGAAGTACTCTCTTATTGTGTCAGATATCATGGGGGTGGGTGGGCCGTAGAGGCGTCCATTCAAAGTAGCAAGCTACTACAGAAACTACATTGGGTCGTGGATGGTGAGTCAAATACAGGCAGCTGTGTAAACCATGCCATGGAACACATTACATATGTCCAAATTAAAATGTGAGTAATAATATTTATATTACCCACGTGGCCATGAAATAAAATGTGTGTGCATATAACAATGCGTTGTCATCTCTAGTAATCATATGTAATTGCATAATACACAAATATCTTGTGTCCGTTCCTCTCCCCTTTTATTAATGCTCTTTTCTTTGGCCTATAAATCATTTATGCTTGCAGCCCGTGCTGTGGCATCCATTGCTGCATCAGAGGCAAAAAGCTTATAGTGCCTTCGAAATCTAAGTTACAGTGGAGCTGCTTCTCCTCCGTATTCATGATTACTTACTTGACGTTTTTTGTTCCTTAACCAGATGAAAGGAGGAGCCCTTTCCTTCAGAAGATGGCTTCGAGGGCGAAGTCTTTACTGTTCTAAGCTGCTGACCTCCAGAGCAAAATCCCGCTATTTATTCCTCACGTACCTAGTTACACTACATCTTATTGTTTTACTGTGCCTCACTGGTGTTCTCTGAATACACTGCATTTTCTGGGTAAATTATTTCCCTCTAGGTAATGGTGTGCCATTCAAGATAATAGACTTTTCACATGCTGCTGTTAAGCTATGCACTGGACACAGTTGTACATATTCTTGTTAGACGACATGAATCTTAAGCTTCGTAAAAGAAACTTGTGTATATCACACTTGCTCCAAAGTTGACTTGAATTGCTCTTTAACAGTGGAATATTATATTTGCTAAGGAGAAGATATTCCCCTCTGTTTGCCCTATAAAGAAACTGCTGCATACAAGTTATTTAATATTGTTTGTGAGTACATAATGATTGATTACTACTGAATGGGTTGTAAATGATATCTTTTCTATATAAATTTTATTTTAAGAGTTAAAACTATAAATTTTAAAGGAATATCCAGCTATTACTGTTTATTGGCTTCTTGATTATAACAAGAAGTTTTATAGAGTGCAATAAAGGAAGAACTACTGGATTTTTTTTTTTAATTTTTTTTTCTGAAAATAAAGATTTAAGGTTGTTCTTTGGCCATACAGTTTGTAATGGCTCTGACAAGGTGCACAGATAGTATATGGTAATGAGATAAGCCAATGATTAAAGATTCAGAATTGAGATGACGTGAAGAAATGTCTTCAACTTCTTATATTCCTTTACTGTTGTTTCAAGGTGCAACTTCTGTAGTTTTTCTTGTTTGCTTTTTTTTTTTTTTTTAATTTGTTTGGGGGGTTTTTTTGTGGTTTTTTTTTTTTATTCGTCTTGGTGGGTTTAGTTACTGCATATCTTTGGGGCAAAAAGTCGCTGAGCAGCTCAACACGTGAAATTCAAGCTTATAAAGACACAACCTTACATATTTGACATACTTGGGCTTCAAGATTCAAATGAATAAAGGGTACATTTTCCACTAAAAGGCTATAAGAAGCAGAGGATTTGCATTCAGTTTCTGTAGACGTGTAATAGTGTTGTGCGTTGCATACTAATACATCCATGTTTTCTTACAATGTTCTCTGAAACTGCACAACTGTTTCTCCAATTCAGAGAAGAGCTTTTTTGTGAAGACTCTGGCCACTGGAAGCTGGAAGGTCATTTTTTACACCCTCTATTGTTTGTTGGCGTTTGTTCTCTCTGTGTTTCCACTCACATCTGTGTAAAATGGAGATACAATCAAAACAAGCAGAGTCTAGTGGAGTAGGCAAAGTTGCAAAAAGGAGTAGCCATTTGATTTCCCGTTTGCTAGACTAAAATACTAAAAATCTTGTTGGAAAAGAAATATCTAATGAGTATGGAAATGGAAGGATTCCAGCGGTTTTACTGATGGGCAGATACAAGGTTGGCTTTGAGCAGATGTTAGCGAAGTGAATTATGTGCTTAAGGTCCAAGGATTCTTGTATGTGATGCCTGGTGCGCGGTCGCGTAACGTGTAAGAAAGAGGGATCAGTTGGCATTTACGTCCGCAGAGGTTTTTTTACCAAATTGTATCTGATGTTCTGCATAACTTGTGTTTGTCATGTGGAACGGGAAGTATTGCCAGCCGTATTTACCGCTGTAGGTAAATCCTGTAAACTTTCATCTTCTGATGGTTCTTTAGTATTTCTTAGTCTAGTAAAGGTCTGGATCTCTGTATACATCCAGTATATTCCTATGTAATTGATGTCTCTTTTTTTTTTTTTTTTGGTGAAATGGTGATGGCTCATCTCTTTGGAATGGCTGATTGCTGATTCAGTCCCTCTTTTCAGCCATCGTGTCACCCAAGTACCGAGATAAGTCAGCTATTTTCAGTCTTTGTGCCACGCAAACAGACAAGTACAGTTGAAACATGAGTACTGTACATGGTAGGACTTTCCCCTTTCCAGCTTGAAGGTGGCTGTTAACAGAATGATAACGAGCTATTCTTAGCTAATCGTGTTATAATGAAGCAGAATGCTTCCCAATGACAACAGTGGACCTACAAATCCTTCCAGTCGTACTCATCTCGTGTGAGGGATTTTTGTCTTCAGGGGAGAAAACAACCCTCTGTCATGAGGCGTAGCAAGTTAGCAAGCGGGAAAGGAGCCAGAGATGTTAGAAATTCTGCCCTAATTTATCCAGGCCTTTGTGCTGTCACTGCGATAAGCACAAACTGAAAAAAAGTTTCCAAAAATGGCTTGACACGTGTAGATATTCCGTGAACTCCATTCCAGAAGCTGATATAAATGTAATAGAAGGTGAGATCATGTCATTTACAAAGAGGCTTTTACAAATCGTCACCATTTCCCGGGTAAGTATTACCCTGAGAGTTTTTCATGTTACCGTTCATGATTTTAATGCTTCGCTTTGCTTGGTCTGAGATCTTTTGGGGGTCGTCATGCTTGCTGGACTTGGATGCTGTTTGCCTCAACCTTTGAAGGGGTTCCAAAGGGTCTCCTTTGGGCGTAAGGTAATTCAGGTTTGACTGCGTGGTTGCAGGGAGATGTGCACATGTTCCTCATCGCTGGAAGGATCAGTAGAGTGCAATGAAACCTTCTTAGTCTATCCGAACCCCGGAAGAACACTTTAACAGTGCTTGCTGTCTGGACATCAGGCCTGATGCAGAAACCAGAAAGGAAGTTCTCTGTTAATTGTATTTAATTTTGCACTGAGAATTAGAAAAACAAAAATGGAAAGTAAAAAATTAAGCAAATTTAGGAAATTTATTTAGGAATTTCATCTGGTGACAAGATTTCCAAATAGCTGTTTTGAGAAAACGATTATTAAACCTATAAATTCAGCGGCTGTAAAGCAATAATGTGACTCAATCAATGAAACTTTTAAGTTGTGCTCTTTATTAGTTCATTCACCTCATAATTCAGTAACGGTAAGGAAAGCAAGATGGTTTTTTTTTTTTTTTTTTTAAATAATGGGAAATGAACAAATTCAGCGGTTGATTTTATTAGTAAGTGTCAGCGGCTTCTCTGGAATCTAATCAATAGCGAGTGAAAGTGTAAAACGATTGCTGCCAGCCCTCCAAAGTGTAACGTGAAGGGGTCAGCGGGGGTTTCCCTATGAAGTTTGTTTCTCCAGGGATGCCTGTGCTGACCTTAGTTTTACATGTAGACCTGTACGTGAAATGCTGTGTGTATGAATGAATGGGAATACTGTTTCTCACCACGGAGGATTGAACATCTTGGTCCTATCCAGCCTTCTTTAGAGCCAAGGAGCGACGCTGAGCTCTGGGAGCTTTGCAGCATTCCTCCACTTTAAAATTCTCTACTCTTAAATCCTAGTATCTCATCTGATGTCATTTCTGATATATTTAAGAACTGAGTTTCCTTCTGTTTTACACTGATGGAGTCAGAGTCTGGGTGCAGTTCTATAATGTCGGATGCTGCTGATAAACGGTTGGCTTACTGCGTTCTTAAAAGCTTTTTCCTGAGGGTCTTAGAAGAAACTAACAATTCATGGCAACACGAATGAATGTTCCAAAATACCAGCTGCTAGAACTCATGGCTAAACATCCCTATATTAAAGATGTTAACAAATGTATATGATAAAATTATTCTGCTTCCTTATGTGAAAAAGAATCTTCCAGTCACAGGCACATCAACAAGAATTAAAATGATTTTTTTCTTCTTCAAAGTCATGTCATATTTTTGAATTACGCTTCCATTTCACCTGCAGGCGTTGGGATCGGTCATCGCGCTTCGTAAAGCGTGAGGGAAAGGATTGAACACCGGGAACTTCACGCAGCTCAAACTTTAAAAACCAAAACTCCTCCTGTTTGTAAATCTCCAGGGGCTCTGGTATTCTTGCAGGGACCCTCAGAGCCTGAGGTATTTTAACCCCCCCAAACAGGACGGCATGAATTGGTTGCAGGGCAGACCGGAACGCTGGTGGCTGTTCTGCCAGCGCGCCTGGCCTGCCTGCGCACGTAGCGCTCGGGTGGGACCGTAATGCCCTCAGAAGTCAAATACCTTCCTGCATTCATCGCAAAAACGATACTTAATACATTTTCGCATTGTTAGGGACCAGAAGTTTGCTGGAGAAGTGGTGTTTTTCATTCCTTTCCCATTTCTGAAGTACCCTTCCCTACAAAGTGAAGTTGCCAGAGAAGGAAAAAGAAAATCCTTCCCTCTCCTTGACTGCCTAAAGAGGTGATCGTACAGCCCTAAAAATAACCAAGGAATCCGAAACAGAAGTCTTGGTGAAATTCAGGCCCGCCCTTGGTGGGAGTTTTGCCATGAATTTCAATGAGTTCAGGGCTTCGTCTGATGTGTTGGCCAACTGCCGAAGTTGAGTTGTTCCTGGGCGGTTGTGCCAGCTCCTCGTGTTCGGTTTCCCAGAATATCCACTTCAATGAGGTATTTGCCACTGACAAACATGGAATAGGTCCTGTAGCGAGCTCTTCACAGTACAGAGGAGCTGTCATTTAAAAACACACGGCAAATGCTTCCCTGAAACCTTTTGTGTCGGTTATTTTTAGTTGTTTAAGTTTGATGATGACCCTCTAAGAAAAAAGCGAATTTAAACGTGCCGCTAGGGATCAGCTGCGGTCTTTGAAGCAATGAGTGTTCAGTGATTCTTATTTCCCACCTAACTACTGACGTTACAACTGGTAGGTGCGTATGATCAACTCATTTTTAGCCGATGAAATTTCTAGACAATGACAATTCAGCCTTGGAAGATTTGGGGTTACGCTTGCTTAAGGCCAAGTGGAGCTGAATGTGTATCCTCTAGTTGAACTTGTCCCATGGTCGTGAGGCCAAGTAACATAATACCACAGGACCCCTTGAGGCTACAGCAGAAGCGATTTCCCTTTTGGAAACAAAGGCTGAACGTCCTGATTAATTTGCTTCAGTAAAACCTATTCAAGCTGAAATGTATGTGGATATTTAGCATGCTCTGCAAGATCGGAGCTTTAGCATAGACTTTGCTGTTTAGGTTTATTCTTCTCAAAAATTATTCTTTTGACAGCAATTTGCTCTCTAAATAACGGAGTGTTGCTTCTGTCCTATTCCTTTCCATTGCTCCTCCCCCCGCCCCCGCAATTACTGTTTGCAGCCAAAATCGTGAGGCACTATGTGCGATGATGATGAAAGCACTGCCCTTGTATGTGACAACGGTTCTGGGCTTTGCAAAGCTGGGTTTGCAGGAGATGATGCCCCAAGAGCTGTATTTCCATCCATTGTCGGACGTCCTCGACATCAGGTCAGTTGGTACCAAAATGAAAGTGCTGTCTGGTTTGCGTAGATGTTTTGGGTTGTTTTGGGGTTTTTTTGAGACTTTAGACCTGGCAGTGAGAAAGCATCAGACTTACTCAGGCAAAGCTCCCGCTGGCCTTTGTAGGAGTTGAGCTTGTTAAGAACTGGAGGACTGAGCTGCACGTCTTTACTACTACGAGGTAAACTTCTTCATCCTTTGGAAAAGATGTCCTTCAGCCATAAAATGTTGGCTATAGAAGCACGTGAGTGTTTTAATGATACGAAGGTGTCTTATGGGAAAAAAATCCACAACTTGCAGGATTAATTAATGTTCACTGTATCAATACAAAGAAAAAAGATAGGTAGAACATTGCTAACATGAGAAACCAAATGAGTAATTGCGCTAAGTCCCTCTTCTTATTCCATTAAGCAGCAGTATGGCCCAATAAACTTCCAGAAGTCTCTAGCACATCACTTTATCAGCTCAAACAAGACTGGAAAGGATAAATGTGGCTTTTCTTGACCTTGGAAAGGGTCTTGCTGCCTAATTAGTTTAATAGTTCCTTTATAAATAGAAGATGCTGATTTTTGTTCATTTTAATCTTATCTGAGTCAGATTTTAATCTTCTGGGCTGTTGAAAAGCCTTCCCTGAAGTTCTGTGTGTTCCTTGGCTGAGCTAAATAAGCCTGGTTTGACAGGTGTAAAATACTAAGCGTTTTAAGGAATGCATTTTGAACACCTCCGTGAATTGCTTAAGTTGAATATCAGCGGTTGAAAACGTGTCCATTCTTTGACGTCTCAAATCGTTCATTGGCTTTTATTAGTTATCAGAGTTATTGTGTAATTTTGTACAGTTATGCAGCTCATCAGCTGTGTTATTGAATCCATGGAATTAAAATGTATCCATGAGAAAAATAAATGTCTTCATGCCAGTTGTACCTCGTACGTTGTTGTATTATTTGGGGCATTCATGGTAGGCTTCCTAAGACAAGCATGATAAACTTAGTAAAACCATTATTTAATAATTGAGTTTTCTTTCTGAAAAATCTGTCTCTGTTCTATATATAAATTAATGCTTTTTTTTGCAAAATGTATATTTTTCAAAACCATTTCACTTCCAGCAAGGGGGAATAATGTCACGGTTTAAAGGCATTAGTGGAACTGCCTACACACAAAGGGCAACCGGATATATATCCTAAACCTAGGGAGCCAAAAAAAGATTCTGTCTTTTTCTCCTGCAATTCCTTCCCTTTCTTCCTTTGTGCAATGACAAAGGACCCGTCCCTTGTGGAGAGCTGTGAGTTTGCTGATGCCCGCCTTGGCTGGGCTCCTGCATGGGCACCGGTTGCACCCAGCGTGAGATACCATCCTTGGCTTTTGAAGCTGCCTTGCTCTTCCTGGTGGGTGTACACAGGGAGGTGGTACAGAGTAGGGCTTACCGATAAATTCACATTTTGGTTCCTTGCACGTTTTGGGGGTACGTTCTGGAATGGCGGTGGCAGGTACAGTATTTCACATGAAGATTTGACTTAAAAATAGTATTCTACCTCTAATGGGTGTGATATACCGCACTAATATTAGAATAATATACTTCGCAGGGTGTTATGGTTGGAATGGGTCAAAAAGACAGCTACGTAGGGGACGAAGCGCAAAGTAAAAGAGGGATCCTGACGCTGAAATATCCCATTGAGCACGGCATCATCACTAACTGGGATGACATGGAAAAGGTGGGTGTTTATTTTTAATGTAATTTGGTTGAGGCATCATCTTACTCAAAACGTACAATTTGCCATTAACCTTCTTGCAAACCAAAGCGAAAGTCCTTGAAGAATTTGTAATTGCAGTATGGGTGAAGGGATAGTACGGTGTGCTAGTACAGGAGCTGATCAGGTCTTGGCACATCTAGAGTTACTTTTCTTTTAAAGCCTAAATGCTTATTACTCATCAGAGTTGTCAATATGTTATAAAAGTATTTTATGCTTTATACATATTCTTTTCAGTCTTGACGTTCATACTGAGGCAGAACGTTTGACAACGATAGAAAGTAGCTAAAGTTAAAAAAAAAATACAGGTTGCGATTCATCAGAGGTGAATCAGAGAAATACTAAAGATACATTACTGAAGTTGAGAACAAAAACTGTGAGGTGGAGGGATGATTTTCCCTCCGCAGTACTTGCTTACACGAACAAGATGATGGGTGATGCCCACGTCTCGTACTGCATATGACATTCTCAGTGTCAATTAAAGGGGAAAAGACAGATTGGGGCTTCCTATCCCTATGCGAATTCTTTGAGAGTGAGATTTTTTTTTTCCCTGAAGCGTGTGTTTTGTTGCCAATTCCAGTTAGCTTTTAATGCCTGGATGCTGCGAAGGTGTCCTATTCCCTGTCAAGCCCGACTTTCTTGGGACGTGGCCGCTGCAATGACCTCTTTGTGAAATACCCGCTTAAGGATCTTCCAGAGCAGGCTCGGGCAACGAGTTGTGCTCCTGGCAGACGCTGGAGAGGCAGGAGGAGTCCTAAGGGCTCTCTCACTCCTCTCAACGTCTCCGACGTCCCATACATCCCGGTCTCCTCGGGAAGCCTCCGAGTCTGTATGTGGAAATATTGTACCTCTTCTCTAGAGACAGGATTGCCACTCAGTCCCTTGTCTCCAGGTGAAATGGTGTGGGAAGGAAACTCCACAAGCAAACGCTTCTAGTGATGTTGTCCTGTGGAAAATACCACTGAAAGGAAGACCCGGGGCTGGTGGTGGTCTGTACTCACGCCTTGCTGAGACGAGGCGTATACAATTGTAACGCATACATCTAAAGTCAGTTTTGGTGTCAGATTCACGAACCCAGGCCGGTAAGTGCCGAGTGTTCCAGAGGAACAGACCCAAGTCCGTACAGGAGCAACGGGATTTCCTCAGTTCGTACTTGGAAATAAATTGCCCACCTACTCCTCTAGATGGAAGCACAGTATTTGCGTTTCATTATTTCACTGCTTGCTGGGAGGACACCTTGCTCGTTTCTGCAGAGTAGAAAGTCTACCTCATACGTCCCGCTATCTTGTCCTTCCTGATAATTTTCCTGCTGTCTGTATTCAGCAAGAAATTATTTTTCCCCGTAGGGAAAAAGAAATTAAAATAGAATTGGAGGTCACTATTTTATGTTCTTTCCTCAGTGACTGGTCTCTGCATCTGGAAATTGTCCTGTGTGTAACACATCCTGGTATGTGGTGTTCCTCTGGGTAACGCTGGACGCTAGAGCGGACTATCTAAAAACCTAGTTAGGAAAAGGAGGTAGAGAAGGTAAAAAAGGTGGCATGTGCTTTACTGTGGTGTAAAGTCACGGCTAGATGGATTGTTTTCAGGGTGTAATGTGGTGGAGGCTTCAGGCAATGCTGCAATTCAAATAATGGTCAGATACTATACGGGCTCTTGTAGTTTGAACTTCTCTTTGTCACTTAAATGGATGAAGGAATGACCTGTGAAAGTGGGTCCCTTTCTTCTGACGGACGGCCCAAACCTTCTTCTGACATCCAGCTTGCCACACGCTGGCACAGATGCCCCAGCTCGGAGTTCTCGCTGAGCCCGGGAGCGAGGGGGACGGAGCGCGGGGGCTGCGCGCCGGTCAATGAGCCACAAAGAGAAAAGAGAGGCATGAGGGAGAGGCGGGGGTGGAGAAGAGGCAAGAAACAGCGTTGCTAACTTTTGTGATTACTGCAAATAAGGAAAAACACACCTTTTTTTTTCAACATACGGGCTCCCCGGACTCAATCGTGTGATTACATGCGTGTATCGACTTGCTCCGAATCTCTGTAACACACACACACGCACACACTCTTCTGCCTGAGAGAAGTTCTGAAATGCAACTCCTAAGTTTTGATGGCAAGGGAGTATCTTTTCTGAAGGTATATATATTTTTCCTGCCCAAGATTTTTTTAAATCAGTTGCGTGATTCTGATCCCAACGACACATTTCTTTCCAACGCTTGGAAATAATACTACAAAAACCATGACAATACAGAATAAAGAAGAGAGTTAGTAGGTTCCGTGCCACAAATGGGACGAAGGCATAATGGCGCGGCGCCCGCCCATCCACACGTTACAAAAAAGAGGGGGTCATCAAAAGATGAGGCTGAGCGCGCCTGCGTGCCAGAGACAGCGGGAGCGAGGATGCCGCGGGACGCGCCGACGTTCGTGCGGGTGGGGAGGCGAACCCGGAGGCGACCAGCGGAGCATTCTTCTTCTCCCGCGCTCCCGTTCACGATATTCAAACGGGGGCTGCTCCGTTTTCCGCCGGGTCATAATACAGGGCGTTGGCCACGGCTGTTAATCCGTTCGCAGCATCTGCGCTGACAACGTACGGGAGGGGAAGCGTTGGGATGGAGCGTTTTCCGGCTCTGGTGGCTACGTGCGTGTTTAATGTAAGTGTCGGAACCATTCTTCCTCAGTAATTTCTCTTTGCTACTGTTCCTGCTGCTTACATTTAATTCCTTGTGACCACCAGAATCCAGCACTGGACTATTGTTGTTTCTCGTAGAGTAACATTCTCCATTAACATTATGGTTATCGTTAGGTCGAATCCAAAGGGCTGGACAATGCCTACTCCTGTCCGGTTTTGAGGAAAAACCTGCAAACTGCCTGAGGTTTAGGCAGGGTGCTGCTTTAGGCGTCCAGGTTTGTTCCTCACGGCTGAAATCGCCAGCACTTTGTTAATTATGCAAGCACTGAGGTTTCCTTCTCTTCCCTTAGTTCTTTCCCGTCTGAAATGGCAGTCTTTTTCTTCTTATATCCGATTTCTATATATATTTTTAACCTTTTACATGATTACGTTCTGTTTTATTCAACTTCTCCATCTGTTTGCATTCTAAACCTTCGAACGGAAGACGGCCTGGCATCCCAAGCCCCAGTTCGGGAAACACACGTGATTTATATTTTTTTAGGGGACTGAGACGGAACTGAAACTTTTTTTTAGAGCTGATTATTTTTCTTAATAAATAATTCCAGCTCTGGACCGCTGTTGACTTTGTAGGTGCTTCGAATTTAGAAAAGATCTTTTTTTCCACTTAAGTTCATTTTCAAGCGTAATAATACTCGTTTCTAGGATATTAATCAAATAAACTTGACCATAAAACTATCCTGATGTTTTGTGCTCGGAAATAAGCTTTGTTGTGTCAGGTAACGCTGAGCTAAAAAGAGAAAAAAAAAAAAGGAAGTAAGGGTAGGAAAGAATTAAATGAGAAGATAAGAAATATTTCATCGTGTTACTGAACAGTCTGTCTTTGAGCTGGCATCAAGAAAAAAATCCCTCCGGTTCCTCACAGCCGTCGTCCTCAGACAATCAACGCCAGCATCGTTCGATACAGGTGGCACCTTCCAACACGAAAATACTACGGTACTTCACAGACTGTGACCGAGAAATTTAGTCACTGTAGTAAGTGAGAGTTTGATTCAGGACTTACTGGACAGAATATCCGTGGCATAAAGGGCCTTTCGCTGCTGAGGAAATGGTTAGATTTCTAAAGACCATCCTGGCAACGACTGGCAAGTGGATCAGTCTCCAAGCAGCCCGAAGTGGAGAAGTCTTTCCAGGTCTAACAGGGCAGTGCTTGGCTCAGCTTCTGTGTCGGAGCACGGCGTGTGGGAACTAACCGGTGCCCCTGTTCAGAGAGGAACGATCTATGTTCTCGTTAGGGAATCCCAACTGGAAGGACTCCGTTGTGTCGGTTACATTCTGTTGTTACATGCAGTAGAAACCCAACGGTTTTGATTCTAAGATAGAATTGAATTTGGCAGATTCGCTCTTGCATTCTGTCTACTTTAATAAGTCTGTAAAAAAAAAAAGTAAAGTCACTCAGACTGTATTTGAAAAGCTTTCTGTGTAGTTCTGTGGACAGAAGAAATGATTTTCAGAACACTTTTCTAAAGCTATTGTCATTTTTAGATTTGGCATCATTCTTTCTATAACGAACTCCGGGTTGCGCCGGAGGAACACCCCGTCCTGCTGACCGAGGCCCCCTTGAACCCCAAGGCCAACCGCGAAAAAATGACTCAGGTAACCGTCTGAGCGCTGTGCCGCAAACCACTTCTGCATGGAAGGAGCCAACAAATATAATTGTATATTTATATATAGTTATTTTTATATAATTATATATTA